AAACAAGCTAACAAGCAAACAAACAAACAAGCTAACAAACAAAGCAACAAGCGTGAACAAAGAAATTCTAACATACAAACACAAACAAACATACATACAAACAAACAAACACAAAACAAACACACACACGCGACCTGACAGTGAGAGCAGCATGTTTGTATCAAAGGATCGAATCATATTGAAGACGTGCGGCAAGACGACACTCCTTGAAGCTGTCAAGCCATTGCTTGGTCTTGCCAAAGAACAGTGTGGATTCGATAATATAGTGGTTTGTATGTTTGTTTGTTTGTATGTATGCATGTTTATTTTGTATGTATGTATGTTTATTTTGTTTGTTTGTTTGTTTGTGTATTTGTATGAATGTTTGTTTGTATATTTATTTGTTTGTGTGTGAATGTGTGTATGTATGTGTGTGTCTGTGTGTGTGTATGTGTAGGCATGTTTGTTTGCGTGTATGTATGTGTATGTTTGTGTAAATGTTTCTGTCATATATGCTTTTTTTCATGATGTGATGTGGTTTAAAAAGCATTGAATAAACAGATAGATGGATAATGTTTTTAAAAAAAGTTATGCATGTTTGCATTTTTGTAATCTGTCCCCTGCTGCTCTTGTATGCTGTTATGTTTTGGTCTTGCCTGAACCTCTCTCTTTACCTGCTTTTTATTATTTATTTGTTAAGATTAGATTGTTTTTGGTGTTCCATTGTAATTGTTGTTGTTGTTGTCGTCGTCGTTGTTATTATTATTATTGTTGTTGTTGTCTTTGTTGTTATTCTTATTGTTGTAATTGTTATTATTATTATTGTTGTTGTTGTTGTTGTCTTTGTTGTTGTTGTGTGTTTGTGGCAGTTAGTATTTTAATGGAGCCATTATTAACAGTGTGTTAATTTTAATGCTCTTTTGATTACAATTCCCACCTTAGTTGTTATGCAAGGGTTTTTTTGTTTGTTTTTTTTGTTTTTTTGTTTGTTTTTTTTGTTTTTTTGTTTGTTTTTTTGTTTGTTTTTTTGTTTGTTTTTTGTTTGTTTGTTTTTTTGTTTTTTTGTTTGTTTTTCTGTTTGTTTTTTTGTTTGCTTGTTTGTTTGGTGATTGCAAATCCCACCTGAGTTGTTATGCAAAAGTTTGTTTGTTTGTCTGTCAGTTTGTTAATTTGGTG